AAAAAAACCCCAAAACTTCCACCAACAAGCCTGGCTCCTGCCGGCGTCCCGGCAGTGGTAGAGCACGTACTGCCTTGGACACCGAGCGGGGTTTCACCCACTTCAACGCACGACTTCAGGCAGTAGGCAGCCTGGCCTCAGGGAGGGTTACTCTCCCCGCGGCAGCGCATCCAGTTTAAACTGTTCCCCGCGCAGCCCATGCTCGGCTGCCGCTCACCAGAAGAAGCTGCCGTACACCGGGGTTGCGCCGAGCCCACCGCTGGCGTTCTCCCACCCCAAAACGGGATGTCGAACCCGAGCAACGTTAAAAAGCAACGTTTTTTTAGGGGAGCTAAAGTTTTCTGGTAGGCGAGCTGTTCTCAGGTCTGCGACAAACTGAGAACAGCACCCAAACGGCGAGTTGCAGCAGCTAAAGGGGAAAGGGATAGGGAGCGTGGGGTCCTCCGTCACGCAACCCGCTCAAACAAACCTGCTGCCGAGGGACAGCAACACGCAACCACGGCCTCAGTTTCATGACTAAATAACAGCAGCAAGACTTTAGACCGGCACAGAAGGGTTGGCTTAAGTGCATACTCCAGTTCAACCAGGTCAAGCCACAGTTCCTTGGCTGTGGGTGACAGATACGTCTGCCACTGGGCCACCCTGCACCACAGGTGTGGTCTAGATCAGGTGTGAACAGAAACGCATCACCTTTATCTCGCTTTTGTTCCACAAACTTGTGACCTGACTTCAGGTCCTATGGACAGACACTACCTGATCCAGCATCAAGCTTGCTGTCATTTTTTTTAAAATACATTTAAACCAGCAGCACAAATTTATGTGAAGTCAGTTTTGCTATGTAGCTGTGGTATTTTCGATGCAGTAATAGGAGCTGTGTAGTTAGATTTACTGTCGTCTTGACGCATTGCTGGAGTGGGGTTGGAAGCCAAAAATAATGCTCAGAATAATTTTATTGATGACAGTCAAAATTTAAGGCACGTCTTAACAAGCAGTTAGCTGATGGAGTGCTAGGAACAAGAACCTTGGTGCATACATACTCCCATTCCTGCAATGATTGAACATTGATATTTTATTTAAACTGCACAAAAACGTTAAGTTGAAACTCACCCTAAATGATTAGTCAGTATTTAAAACACCACTGTGCTCCACATGTGCTTGGATGCCAATTTTAATAACTAATTGAACTCAAAACTAAAGACACCAATATACACCAAAACCAACTTAAATCAACTATACTGTAATTAAAACTGTTCTGAGATATAACACGCTGGGAGTCCAAAACAATATATCCAATTTTCATTAAACTTCTCAAATATATTCTGTCCAAACATGACACAACTTCTTACACTAAAATCGTATGAAGATTCATGGTGAAATATTCTCAGCCTGCCAAAATTAGGAATAAAGACTAAATTGAAAATTTCTATTAACCTTACAATTAAAGAAATTACTTTAGAAGAGCCTTATTCAAGTTAGCAACGTTTGTTACGGTAACGGACTACATTTACAGCATTTGTTTAGTGTCTGCCCATGGCTTGGACAGGTAAAATCAAGAAGCTGGTGTCACTGTTTTCTGGAGATAATGTCTAAGTCAGTTTGTTTTCCATAGTGTACTTGGTGTCTGGATTGAAAACATCAGAGGGGGTGTTTAACTCTCAATAAAATGGCTTAGCTGCATGGGGGGAATTTTAAAATCTAAACTCTACTCGCATTTGTAAAGACAAATAGGTCAATCCTGCAAATTCTGATGAATATGAAAATGTTTCAATGTAGAATCAGTGTAACTTCTCACGCATTCTGTACAAAGGTATTTTGTGGTGCTAGACCCAACAAAGGTAGGGCTTTGCAAGGTACATAAATACCTGATAAGACCTGACATCTGAAGTCAGGTGCATGAGTAGGCTAGGCTTCTAAGCAGTTATTGAGAAATTTAAAGTGGCTCTAAACAAGCTAATGAAGCATTTGAACTAACTTTTGAAAAAGGGAAGCCTGAAGGATTTTGTAAATTGGGAATGTTACCTTTGTAACCTCTGATTATATCAGTGCAAAACTTCTGTGAGTTCAGAATCAGGCCATCAACTAAAACCGACTAAACTAGTCAAGTATGATTTCTTTATGTATTAGTTGTTAATTCACTGACATTATGCTGGCTGATTTGTTTTAATGCATATTTCATTGGTAGAGCAAAGAGACTTTTTGTCAACATTATAAAACAGTCACTTGTTCATCAGAATAAAAACAGCAATTACTGTTAGCCTAACCTTGCAAAAAAGTGTACAGTTTCATGAAGTGTACAATTTTATGACATTACCTGCAAGAGGTGAGGGTTATTTTGTTGTCCTTCCCACATTAGTGAGATGCCAACAGGAAAAGTTTAGAAATTTGTCTCAACCTGCCTGCCATTCAAAAATTGGTTTATATATCTACAATGCTATGATGGGTCACAAATTTTAATAGAAATATAAATTATAAATTATGAAACATAATGAAGTATATTGCTTTTCATTTATTGATACTGCTTATATTGTTTTCTAGGGAAGTTGTGTAAAATACATTAATCTGTCACATACATTTTTGCAATAACATTATGCAGTCACCTATAAAAATGTTAACAGCTTTATGCAATTTACTTGGAGATTACAGTGGCAAGAGTCATCCTGCTTGCTGGAGGGACATGAGAGCTCAGTGAGCTTCCCTTCCAGCTATTCGTCTGCATAAGGGACACTTAACAGTTTAGCTGGAAGACGCAAAGGGAACGGGAGACCAAGTAGAACAGCTGGCAGCATTTCAGAGGGGTCTGCTTAATCATGGAAATTTATGGTCGGTGCTAACCAAAAAAAAGTAATGTTATATGAAGTGTGACATGTGATGTGATTAAACACATTTTTCATTGACCCCTGGAAAGATTATCCTTGCTCTTTGAAGTTGTGGAACTTCAGAAGTCCCCAGAAGAAACTGTCTCCTCCTTTCTCCTCACAGTAGAGATCACATTCAGAGCCTGGGTGGGGACTTTTACATAAAAAATATTCTGCAGCTCTGGAGAAGAGGTGTGTGTTCTACAGTGAAATATAAATGTAAACTCTCTGTTGCCAAAAGTTTTGTTGGTTTCTGTATGACATTGTTTGGATGAATAGGGACCAAGAGGCCAATTTTACAAACACTTCTGCTCATGAAAAGCTTTATGCATGTGAATCGGTTTGCTAGTCCTTGGTAATAAAGATACTTATATGCACAAGCATTTCTAAATCTGACCCTTTTTCTGCAAAAAGTTATTGCAGAAATGTATTTGACAGATTGAGCTACCTTATAGGATTACCTAAAAATGCACAGTACAGTACCAATAAAAGACCAATAAATAACACTTTTTGTAACAATATTCCCT